GTTTCACAGCTTACAGTGGGGATCAAACAAGCCGACAGCCTGAAGGCGATGGACTTAGGCAGGAGTTCTGATCCATATGTCAAAGTCTACATCCTCCCTGATAAGGCCAAGATCTTTGAGACAAAAGTGTTCAAAAACACACTAAACCCCTTCTTCAACGAGCAGTTCACCTTCCAGGTAGACGGTTCTTGTCGAACGTTCGTTCAGTGCCATGGCAACAAGCATTACGGTACAACACCAAAAACCTGATTTTTAACAATTGATCAAAATCTCATGATTCTCAGCAGACTCTGAAAGTGAAAAATATCTCCACTGATAGATGTGGAACAGTCAGAAAGGTCTGTCAATGAATCCATCAAACACATCTAGAAAATCAGTTGGGTGGAAATAATGAAGACAGCTTCATCAAATTCCCTCGGCATCGAGAATTTGATACAGACACAAAGCCTCATCTTATTTTGATATCCTAAAGAATGAAACTCAGTTCCACTGGACTGGTCAGAAAGAAAAGCAAACCACTGTGAGAACCTTCTGACTTTGGAGAAAGATACAATTGTTTCTCTCTTTGTCTCATTTATCAAACATGAATAAATTTGGCAAATCTAAATGAACAAAAACAGGAACAACTTCATTTTATTTTTAGCAGGTGGGGGAAACAGGTTTTTGTCTTTGTAAATATCTGGTTCAAACACATTTTTCTTGTTTGCAAACAACATGAACATTTCTGCAGAGTACAAAGGTAAAGGTAATTTTATTTATATACACATTTTCAGCAAAAGGGCAATACAAAGTTCTTTACAAAAATGAAAAAGAAATACAAACAAAATAACAAACCAAACAAAAGAGCAAAAGAAGAAAAAGCTAATAACGTTGATCCAAAATAAATAAACTAGATATTCGTATTCAGTGTTGGTTTTTGTGGATTCCAGGTTCTAATCCCTGTTCTGGGTTTTCTAAACTGGTGTCAGTAAGTAAGTATCCTCTGGATACAAGGGAAATGAATCTGGGGAGGTGATGAGGGTAATGGCAAGGAGACCTTCCAGAGTTAGAGCTCATGAATGAATACATTTAACTCTGGATCTGAATCATCTGTGCCTGTATGTTATTGGCAATAAATGTCCATGGTGTAATTCAATAGGATAGTGTCCTATTGGAAAGGACCGATTTTAGGAAATAAAAAAATGGGAATAAAGTGCAGAAAAGTAGTAGATCTTACATAAACTGATGTGTACATTTGTTGAAATTGGTCAAAAAGAATCAGAAGTCTTTCTTCTTTTAATCTGATTCATATTTCTGCAGCTATCTAAGTCCGCTCTTCAGAAGTCCACAGCCGTGATGAAGGTGTTCGACTTCAACCGCTTCACCAAACATGAGATCATCGGCGAACTCAGGGTGCAGCTCTGCAACATCGACCAGAATCACGTCATTGAGGAGTGGCAGGACCTGGCGAAGCCTGCAAAGTTTGAGGTTTCATTTTCTGAAGCTCTTTTTCTCAAAAGAAAAAAGTAGGAAATTTAAAATATAGGGCCAAAGAAAAGCTTTACTTTTTTGCCAGCCATGTAAAACGAGTCATGATACATAGAGTTAAACATAGTGAAATATGTCGATGCATGATAAATATGGTTTCAACACTCAGTTTGTGGGAAAAAAAACAACTTAGTGTAACTAAAACTGATGAACACACTTTCAGTGCTTCGTTGTGACTTTTCTGTGTTGCAGGAAGAAAACTTAGGGGAGATCTGCATCTCTCTGTGTTATGTTCCAACAAGCAGCCAGCTCACCGTGGCGATCCTGGAGGCCAAAGACCTAAAGAGCATGGACCTGGGAGGAAGCTCAGGTAAAACTATTCACCCCATAATAATTTACAATCAGTAAGCTGTGCTATTATTGACAACAGCTTTGTAAGACACTTTGTGGAACATGTTGGACTTGAGTAAATCAATATCTAAGCAATCTTTCAATCAGAGCAATCTCCCCGTGTTTTATACTTTCATGATTAATTCGTAGCTAAGACAAGCTTGCTAATGTGTTTCTCTTGGAGCACCGTGTATTGCTCAGGGACAGGAACAATTTGCCAGCCACAACATGTAGAGATATTTGCTGGTAGCAGAAATTCTCTGATCTTCTTCCACTTGTTTGTTTTATGTAGATCCATATGTGAAAGTACAGCTGACTTTGGACAAAAGGAAGTGGAAGAAAAGAAGAACATCTATTAAAAAGAAAAGCCTGAACCCCTATTTCAACGAGTCCTTTATTTTTGATGTGTCTCTGGATCAAATGCAGGTGAGAATAATAGTATAGGCTCAGTAACATGGATTAATTACACACGGACTGATGTTTTCTAGACTTTATTTTTGTTGATTATGATGACTTACTGCTTACAGGTGATTAAAACACATTAAAGCTTAGAATGTGGAATTAATAAAGTAACATTCTCAATGCAGAAATGTTAGGTTCATGAAAAATGTCTAATGCCTGCTTAAAGGTTATGTTTATTCTGACACCCAGCCTGATGTGTACTCACTATGAGACACACCCTAATTTAATGAATGCCACTGTATTGGAAGAGAGCCAGAAACACCACGTTTCTTTAGCCTAAGAGTTTAGAGTTGCTTTTGAAACATCATGAATGAAACATTAATCAACATTCAGATGTGTAACAATGGCACTTGACAATTATTGACTGTGTGTTCTACAACTTTGTATGTTTTTGTGTGTATTTTTATGATCTAAGGTACTTTGACCTGCCTTGTTGCTGAAATGTGCTATTTAAATATATTTGATTGAATGTTTGATATCATCACTGCTGACACCAGTTACTTCGAGATCTTTGGACAAAGAGTCATGGGGTTTTGAGGTGTCTAGGCTTTTTCTTCCACTTTTTTGACAGCTGACAGTTTTTTTGACATCCACACTATTTTTGATTAGTCCCATCTTGATTCCATAACAGTTTGAAATATCGACATTTTAGAGATGCAGACAAAGCACAATTAAACATGTCATTATTGCCCAAAGAGTCGATATGGAAAATAAAAGCCTCATTAATTTGCTGCTTCATTGCTGCTCTTGTTTTTGTCTTCAGAGGGTGAACCTGGTGATCTCAGTTTGGGACCATGATGCCATGAGCAGGAACGACAGCATGGGAAAACTGTTCCTAGGCTGCGATTCCACAGGAAATCAGCTGAGGCACTGGGCCGACATGTTGTCCAACCCGCGGCGACCGGTCGCTCAGTGGCACAGCCTGCTGTCGGCTGAGCAGGTCAACGCCAGCCTGGGACTGAAAAGGAAAATCCCTGTTCCCAGCAAATTTAAAGAAAATAAGCTGCTTAAAAAACATTTTAAATAGACAAGAAAGTATTTAAACCAAATGATAATAATTCTGGTGTATCAGTAATGTTGTTGTTCACACTGTTGATATGCATGTAGGACTCACATTTGGCCAACAAAATTTGATCACATTAAGAATACCTCAGCAGTTTTGTAATATTGTATTTTCTCCATGTAGAAATATCCCTGGTTACATTCTCATGCAAAATCTGTACAAACCAGTTTGAATTTTGATTTACACAAAGAAAATCTCCTTCAATAGTTCATCAGGCAAAATAATGTGTCTGAGCTATGACGCATGGAATTTTGGGAAATTCACCCAGATTTATGATTGAATTCACATTTCGAGCATTCATGTCTCCTGAACATTTTCACATTTAATGAATGTACAGCCACAAACTTAAACCTATTTCATTATAGCTTTATATAACAGTGGGATTGTAAAGAGAAAGCAAAATGCATTGTTTTCTATTATATATATTTAGTTTTTTATAAATAAATAAATGTGAAAAGTGTGTCATACATGTGTATACTTTGTTGAATCTCCTCTCTTGTCTTTGGAGTATGTCCACCACTAGCATTTTGAAAAGAATATGGAGAAACATCTGATGCAGATGTTATGGATAGTGCTGATGCCAAACTGTTAGTTTTATATTTGTAAGCGGCAGGATATCTCTAATTGTGACTGGATGAACAGATGGAACTCAGAGGAAGTTTATTGTTGCTGATTTATGACGGAAATATTCTGTTGCTTTTCAGCAATACTTAGGGACCTCCAGGCTTCTGTTGCTTACTTGGGAAGAAAACTTCCAGACCAATATCACCAACGTTTCCCCCCTTTCCCTTTTCCAACTCATCCTTATCAATTCCTATAGTCTGCATTTGTAGACTACAATTTAAATGTGTATTTTTCATAATGCTGAGAAATACCTCCGATACCACTTGATATTTCTGGCTACTGCCATAGTAAATCAGGGTATAAGTCTCTTGATTATCATCAGATACATCACCATTAAGAGAAGTCAACTCCAAATTTATTCATATACTCAATCTGTTGGCTCTCCCTTCTAAAAATGTAACTAACATTTTGAATATTTTTGAAAGTAAAGTAAATGTTACCTCCCTAAAATAATGGCCAAAAGTTTTTTTTACCTAACTCTTTGACAATGAAGAGGTGGTGATTTTATTGTCATCACTATTATTATTAGTATAGTAATAACTATTAATAACTAATTATTATTAATTAATTAGTTGATTAACTAATACTCAATAAACCTGATTGTCATAATAATAATCACCATTACTATTATTATTATTATTATTTATTATTATTATATTTTGGCTATTATTATTAATACCAATAGCCAAAAGTGATTGCTTTATTTATTTTTGTAGCCTAAATCATTTTGGCAAAAGCATTACGTAGGCCATTATTTCAGTAAGATAATAACATGACAAATATTGTTTATTGCAGTTAGTTTTATCGTGCATAAAAGTAACTTTAAAGTATCCAAATACAAGTAACTAATAAAATAAGTGCTTCCAGGTCGTTTTTCAGGACTTCTATATCTTCATTGTTTTTTGCGGGGTTTTTTTCTGGCGCGCAAACCTAATTTATTTACGCGTGAAAAGTCAAATGTTTTTTGGTCCTATTGACTTTCCATACTCAGCAGCTAGCAGCAGCTAGCTGGTGCTAGCTGGTGCGCATTCTGCCCTCGTTCTGCTGCTGGACCCTAATCACCGTTTTGTTCATAATGACGTCAGCCCGCGATACTGCTCAGCATGTTTTCGCTCATTTTAACCCGAATTCCTCAACCGAGACTGACCGAGACTGACCCAACTCCCAGAGCGCCAGCTGTGTGTTTGGCTAGCAGCGAACCGCGATGCTAACGGCTGAAGCGATGTTTGTGAGATGCAGCTGAAGTGCTGCTCGGCCTGGAAAACATGACGTTCCGACCGAACCTCGGTGATGTTCCTCTGGCTGCGGGAGGTGGAAGATGGACACCGAGGACCGAGGACGACAGAACTGACTGCTCACGAACTTCGAAATCCGAAGGTGCTTTGCAGACACGATGGGAGAATCGGTAAGAGGACTGACTGCTCTGTGCTTTGTGAGTCGGTTCCGGCAGCAAGGTGACCTGCCAGCTGCACATGTTGGAGCTCAGAGCCTGATGCAGAGCTGCACGTTCAGCTCGGCCTGAATTCACACAAGTTTCTGAACGAGTTCTAATATCTCCTGATATTGCCAACAAATGAAAAGGGAATTTATTTTAAATCATCATATCAGCTAATGGTCAGTGATTAGTGTGATGCTGTTCAGACCTGGAGCTGTTGTCCTCCTTGGACTTGTGATAAACCTGATTGTCATTTTACATTTGGTCAGTGAAGAGAGGCCAGCTGCAGCTCAGCTGACCCTAACCCTAACCCTAACCCCAATTTTGGCTAATACCAAATGCTTTTTGTCTGAAAAGTTGCTAACTGTAACAACTAAGTTACAACGGTGAGTTGACTATTGTGAGGAAATTAACTGCTTCTCATATTATTCTCTTTAGTTTCTAAGCTTTCTGACTAGCACAGCATTTTTATTTTAACGAGTAAGGGTTCGGGTCAGCTGTCCTCACTGGCTGACATGTATGTTTTGTGTATTGCAGGTTCTTGTCCTGATCGAGCCATGAGTAGGAGTGAACACACTAACGCCAGGCATGTCCCCGTGGCCCTCACTCCCCAGCTCCCTCTCAGAGCTCATCGACCTCTGTGTGCATCAGTCTCCTCCGACAGCAGCGGCCGCTTCAAGGCTCTGGAGACTCAGGAGTGGAAGAACAACCTCAAATCTCAGGTACAGACAAAAAAACAAAGCTAGTTTGGTTTAAATCTGGACAAAACAAAAAAATTATTAACAGTAAAATTGTAATTCTCATGAGGATTTTGCTAATATGTCAGTCTATTTTTATATTTTTTATTTTATTTTATGGGAATATCTAAAAAAAATAGACTGTTGTGAAAAGTTCAATATTTTTAGTCACTCATTTTAGAAAGTAAAACTTCATATAGGTTCATCACACAGAGTGAAATATTTCAGTCCTTTATTTCTTGCACTCAGTTGATCATGGCTCACCGATTACAGAGGAGCAGCTTTGTATAAATGGGTGGAGCTTTGTATTAGTGGGTGGAGCTTTGTATAAATGGGTGGAGCTTTGTATTAGTGGGTGGAGCTTTGTATAAATGGGTGGAGCTTTGTATAAATGGGTGGAGCTTTGTATAAATGGGTGGAGCTTTGTATTAGTGGGTGGAGTTTGTATAAATGGGTGGAGCTTTGTATTAGTGGGTGGAGCTTTGTATAAATGGGTGGAGCTTTGTATTAGTGGGTGGAGCTTTGTATAAATGGGTGGAGCTTTGTATTAGTGGGTGGAGCTTTGTATAAATGGGTGGAGCTTTGTATTAGTGGGTGGAGCTTTGTATAAATGGGTGGAGCTTTGTATAAATGGGTGGAGCTTTGTATTAGTGGGTGGAGTTTGTATAAATGGGTGGAGCTTTGTATGGGCAAGTGTTTAGGATCGCCCAATGGTTGCCATGGGAGATTCAAGGATTTCTCAAACATATGTGAAAGAACTAAAATTTAACTCCGGGTACGTTTTAATGAAGGAATAACATTATACTACAATACAACGCTCAGAAATGGCCACACAGGACCGCAGGCAGCGGAATGAAAGGTTTTGACTGGAGGTTCATGCTCGCTCTGTGGGTGTGTGTGTTCTTCCAGATGGAGGTGGCCCACAGTGCAGGAGCAGCCAGCAGCACAGGTTCCCTGGAGCGAGCCTCCATGTTCTGTGCGTTGGCATCGGCCTCTGTGTCTGGCCCCGGCCACGGCCTGCCCAGCCCCGGCCTGCCCAGCCCCCCCGTGGAGACCCTCAGCAAGAGCAAATCTTCCAGCCGCTTCTCTCTCTTCTCCCCTCCATGGAACAGCAGTTCTGAATCTGACTCCAACCCACCATCTCGCTCAGGCTCCAAGAAGCTGCGCAATTACAGCCGGAGAGCAGCCACGGGGCCAGCAGGGGCCCGGGCTCCTGATGTGCTTGATCCCAAACGGAGCGGCCCCGAACACTTCCAGTACTCTGAGCCAGTCATTTCCAGAGTGACGGACTACATCTACGTGGGCAACCTGAACGCGGCGTACAATGGCCGCACACTGTGTCGCAACAACATCGACAGCATCATCGACATGAGCAGCGCGCCCGGAGAGCCGGCCCCCTCCCTCAGCCTCATCCCCTGCACCTGCTCCCGCGGGTCTCGGCACAGCTGGTCCCGCCTCAAAGTGGACATGGGAGACATGCCGGACACGCTGGCCGAGCAGCCGGCTCTGAAGTACTGCTGCTTTGAGGATATCAACGAGTGCATAAATGCTTCCATGGAGAAGAGGAAGCGCGTGCTGGTCCACTGCCGGGACGGGTTTTCTCTGGCGCCCATGTGCATCATCCAGTACCTGATGGTGAAGCAGAACATGAGGCTAATTGCTGCTTATGAGCTGCTGAGAGCCAAGTACCCAGTCAACATCAAGGAGTGTCACCAGAACGTTTTAGTGAGTCTGGAGCGAGCCCTGTGGCCCGGCGGGGAGGTGGACCCTGAGTGCTTCAAACAGGCTCTGTCCCGCAAGCTGGCCTGGACATGATGGCCTCTATCACCCCCCCTGTCTGCCTGGCTGCTCCTTCTGTTGCTTTCTTTCCTGGGTTGGTACATTTTCCACTGAAACCACCACAGGCAGCTCTGCTTGTCCTTCTCGATATTACTGCACTTTCTTTTAATTTATTTGGTGAAGAGAAATCATTTCCATGTGTTTCTTTATCAAACATTGACACAGATATGGTAACAACAACTTTGAACACAAATGCTAAACATTTTGCTCTACACCTAGTGTTTCGCCAATTCGTTCACATCTGGCTTACATTCAAAGTCTATGTGGAGGCGCATCAGACCCATCAAAATTGCTCGAGCCTGATGGGTCAAATGATTCAAATCGCGCCGCGCGAGACGCTTGAGACGTGTCGCGACTGGCCATCGACGCGCCTCCACATAGACCGAATGTAAACCAGACACGCCTGACGCTCAAAACATGCACCATTACAGTTGATATACAGTAATTAATAAAGAAAGCGAAAGTGACAAAAACAATATGTTGACGACCTTGGTCAAACATGTAAAAACAATCCTTTCAGATGGTTCAGAAAGTGCAGTTAGGTATTATAAATTCAGGATTTTCACCAGAAAATGTGCTAAATCTGGTGGCAGGAGTGCTAGGGCATTACTGTGTTTTTTAGTTAAAAATGATTAAAGTTGAAGGAAATGTGAAAATATCATAAGGTCACATTGTTATCCATTAGTAATCCATTATTAATACCTTAACAACAACTATAAAATCTTAAAAAGGCAAACATGAAAAAACCCGACCGTAAATAAGCAAACAACACTTAGCCTGTTTTCGGGTCAGGAAAGCCTGGTGGCCCGCCAGGCTGATAAAACACTGAGGAAAACCCTGAAATATAACATAATAAGCAACAGAGCATGACGTCGCTCAGGGCATAAAGCATAGAATAACACTGAATAGATCCGCCCTCATTGTTCCAGTCTTTTTAAACATCAGAACCGATACAGACATTGACATCGGACTGGTACATCTCTAATTGTGACCTTTCTGTTCATGACTAGCATCCACAGCTGCTTGGCTCCACAGTGTTTTATCTGTTGCCGTACAGTGGATTTCTATTTCTGTTCTACATCATGCTAATGTTCTGCTTTTCTACGTCAGGGTGAAATCTTTCAGTGAGCTAACTCAGGAGAATGTTGATGTCAAAGCAGTGCGGGCGGCTTGTACGTTGTTCTTTAGCTACAGATGCCTCAGTACTCAGGTTTGGACACTGATCTTGGCTGAATTGTGCTGATAATCTGAAGTGGAGTCATACATTCACAGAGCAAATCTAAGGTTATGCTGATGTAGAATTCATTTCAGACATTAAGAGGAGAGATTTCAGATGAAGTCATCACGCCAGTGGTTGACCCGTTAGTAATTTACTGTCTGGTTCTGATGATGTGGATCAGTGGTTCCCAACTGTTTTTGTGGCAGTCTTGTTAAAACCTTTACCTTGAAGTGGCTCGACTTGATAACTTTGGTTAGAAGCTGGGATCACTATGAATGATGCTCAGCAGAAAGAAATTTGACAGTTCCAGATTTTGTTTGGACTCTTCTTATTTCTAACATAAGTTACATCTTTTATGCTCTAATTGCAGGCAAATGTTTTTTTTTCATTTGAATTATTCTCCCTAATAGGAATTGTATTAAAGATTTAGCTCTTTCAAATATATAATTTCAAAAATACAACTACATTGTAGATCATTACGTGTTGCATGTAGTCATAATGTTTCTAATCCACTTTTTAACATGTTGGTCTTTGTTTTCACATGAGGACACAAAATATTTATGCATTTCATCCCTTTTACTGAGTTGCTAAAAAGTGTCAAGAAAGACTTGCCATTGGTTCCTCTTTGTACATCAATTTTAAGAAATTATTTTTATTAAAGCCAAAACAAGAGGGCAGTTTAGAGAATAAAAAAGCCTTCTAGCTTTTTTTTTGTAGCGCTTCTAACTTTCTATTTTGTTGACTTTCTGCTTGCCTGTCAGGGTAATTCAAGTAATTGAGTGATGCAATGCTATTATTGCTTATAGCAGCAAATCTTAAACCTCTCGTGATTTTTGTTTGTGAAAATATAACTGAAACTTTAAGCCTTGCATACATGTGTGATCGTACATGACTTCCTCCCGGCCTCCAGGTTGGGAACCACTGACTTTAACAACACTATCTACAAAGTTCATCTCTCTACTTTTAACAGAACAAGTAAAATGAGCAAATTATGTGCCACTTTTTATAGCACAGCATCAGCCTGCAAAGATTTCAACTGGGAATGGTGCTGAAGTAAAACAACTGATGACCTGCTTTCACAACGTTATCAGGATGGGAGAATAAGGGTGTGCAGAGATGACTGGTCATTCCACATTTAGAAATGTTGCATTTTGCAGGAATAATTTGAGAATGACATAACATCAGCTAGTACCAAAAACACCTGAAACAAAAACTAAAAATGGCGTTTACAGCATTTCTGATAGACATGTAATTGTGTTAGACATTGATTTGTCCAGGGATAGATTGTGTTCAGACTGCCTAACTGATTCAGGAGTTCAAGGCCACCTGACAGTGTTTCCAACAAAACCGTTACCTCTGCGTCTTAAACCCTGTCCACACAGGATCAGATCACTTGAAACACACGTCAGCCTCAGGTGGGAACAGGGATGAAAAATACATTTGAGGTGGTTCAATGAAACAACAAATTTTATTCTAGATTGCAGTCGTCGATTTCACAGAAGAGCTTTGGATTCAATACATTTGAAAGAGATGCAGCTTTTTATGAACTGTGATGCTGTGAGAGCTCATGCCACCCATCCACAAGTTGCCGCCCTGGGCTGTTGCTCATATCAGAAACCACCACTGACCATACCAGCTTTTGTTTTCATGTTATGCATGGAATAAAATCTTACAGTAGTTGCGTTTCCGTAGACCATGCAATTGAGCAATTTCACTTTTCGATAAATAATGGAATTATGGCAATTTTGAAAATACTCTCAATTTTAGCTAAAAAGTTTCGGTGCTAGAATTCTGTGGGATTTTTTTTTGTTTGGCTTTATCAAAATTGGTTTATTTCGCAAAACTGCAACAGAAGCATGTTTTTTGCATCACAGGTCATGAGCCACTGATGATGGCACAGCATGGTTTTTAATGACTTATGTCATGAACAAACTTATTCACATGTGATTTTAATAGTGCTTCTTACATAATGGAAACACCATAATTACAAAATTGTGATTTTCTGACATTCGTGGCGCATTGAGAAAGTTTTGCACACATTTGTAAATGAAACACAACTAGTTTGAATCTCACATTAGCTCACAAACTGAAATCTCAATCCAAGATGCTTCAGGTACAGCGTGTGAAGAGTCGGACAGAATTTATGACCCAGTCAGTCACACTGGACGACCACCATGAGGCCACATGAGTGATGATTCTGTTTGGAAGTCAGCTGTTCTTCCTGACGTCTCTGGGTTTGGATCTCACTGGACTTTGAGTTGCCTCCAAACTTAACTTTAAATATTCCACATGTTGCATCTCATTGACTCTGTTATTTTTGCTGGGCCTGTCTTTGTCTCCTGATGGAAGATGTGTGGTCTGACCCGTCCTCTGAGTGTCACGGTACCAGTTCATATGCAGCCACTTCCTTTCTCCATGATCCGCAGCATTGTTTGAGTTTTGTTCTGTCTGTGCTGATAGCTATTTTCCATTGTAAAATGTTTACTTTTCACCTGCGTTTAAATCTATATCAATATTCCCAACTGCTGTATAAATGTGCACTAACCAGGTTAAGGCAATGAATCAGCAATCTAGACTTGCTACTGTTTGGTCACTTCCTTTTAATGGGAAAAATAAGTGATGTAGTTTTATAAAAATGTTTTTCCTGTATTTATTTTTATTGGGATGTACCTTTCCACAAATGTTTTTGAGTTTATCTTTAACAGAGGGTGAGATGATGAGCATATGAAGTTTGGTTTATGGTTTTGACCTCTTACAATTAGATGAAGGTAGTTTTAGAACCTGTTCAACACAGAGCCACCTGTACTTTAAATTTTACAACTTGAAAGCAGATGCACTAACTAAATCACGGACAGAGTGGTTCTTATTTCTGTCTGCAATGTAGGTTTGAAATTTAGTATTTATTTATTTTTTAATCATATTTTAGCACCAGTAGATCTACTAAGCTTGACAGTCAAAACACAAATCAATATCTGCATTTCCACTACTGTGAAAGTCTAGGCTAGTCTTTGTAAAATGAAATTTACTCTCCATTACTTGAAGGAATGATGTTTAAAAAGAGGCCAATCAATGGGAATATTCGACTTCAAATGATCCAGAATGCAGCGGCACGGCTTCTTACAGGAACCAGGAAACTTGACCATATAAGGCCTACGCTGGTCAATTTACACTGGCTACCTGTTATGTATCGAATAGATTTTAAGATTCTTTTATTAACTTATAAAGTTTTAAATGGGTTAGCTCCCCCTTATCTTCAGGATCTTTTAAAATTTCAGGAGATCAGGCTTTTTCTGTTGCTCCGAATTTATGGAACAATTTGCCTTTTCAGATTAGATCTGCTAGCAGCCTGGATCATTTTAAATCGCTTCTCAAAACTCATTTTTATTCGTTGGCTTTTAACTGAAGCAATTTTTTGATGTTCTGTTTTTATCTATTTGTGTTACTGTCGTTCCTGTGCAGCACTTTGGTGCAGCTTTATACCTGTTTTAAAGTGCTATATACATAAATTTGACATTGACATATTAAAACACAAAATAACAGAAAATCAACCAAATAACACAAAGTTCCATTTCAGACCACTGCACTTACTTATTACATAAGTGTGATTAAGATTAAACTGCATGAAGTAACTGCATATTTTTCAGATATTTACTAGAAAGTATCAGTTTGAGCCCTTGAACAAACAGTGGAGAAAATAATAAAAATAACTTCTGATCATTTTTTTTTACAATAAACAATACAATAACAATCCATCCCTACTTTAAACTTCATAAGTGTATCTCTGCCCTATGCTGCATTTCTTTGTCTTCAGACCACAATAATGTTTGTGCTCTAAAATTCTCTTAACATTGGAGAATTTGGATAGTGCTGCACCTCCTGCAGCTTTTATATCAGCTTATGTTTTTTTAAAGACAGACTTTTTTATTCACACAGATATCATCCTCACATTTTAGCTTTGGAGTTTTTTTTATGTACAGTTTTCAACATTTATTATCTGCATGAAAAGATATTTGCAGCAGCCTGTGAAAATCAATACTCGTCATTATTTGATGTTTCAGAACAATAAGTGGCCACACATCATCTCTTTGGCATCTTGTAGTTTAGATTTTTGGTTTTCTTTAATCAAAAATATTGTATGCCACATGCATAAAAATTGGGCTTCAGGTACTTTGGACCCAGATGATGTCACCATCCATATATAAAACGATCTTTGTTTAACAGAGAGCTATGGCTGCAGCAGACAAGAAGTGCTTTTATAATTGCTCCAAAAATAGTGGAGAATCTGGTAGTTTATATCTTTTTCATTCTTTCAATATCTATTGGTGTTCTGGCTCTGAACTGCAAGGATTTCTGTCATTTTAAGGTAGGCATGTACACTGGGTTACTAAAAAGTATTTTTTGAAAGTTCTTTTTTTTTGACAGAACTTTTTTGCACCACTGAATCTAAAAATCCCATCAATTCTTGTCAATCAGGTCTTTATTCAAACTGTATTTAGAGAAATTTGATCTTATGACTAAATTGATGACATTTAATATTTCTGAACAAAAGAAGATTTTAGGAGAAAAATGTATTTTCCAACAGAGCATATTAAGTGTTATAAACATGGACTTCTGTACATTGTATAATAATCACTATAAGGGTAAGTACATGTGAATTGAACATTATGTCTTCATTGTGTAAAATTCTCCATCTCTTTTCTGTCCTGATGGAATCTCTCCTGCTCATCATTCATTGATCAGATTCTCAGGAAACTGATCCAGATGAGAGAACAAGTCTTGCATTTTGATGCTCATGTTGCTCCATAGTTCAGGAAGTTGACCTGATTGAGCAAAACCAATGTGATTTTTGGATTCAGCCAGTGTAATACATCTGTTGTATCAGCACTGTGACATTCTAGCTGATGTTTCTTTTGAGACCCTAATCTTTAAAATATACCAATAATTAAATTAATTACTTGCTAAGGCCATAAGTTACAAGCAATTTAATAAGGAAAACTAGAATTTGTTTGGAATAACAAAAAAAAAAACCCATGGCGTTGCAGCAGAGTTCACCCAAGCTTTTTTTTTTTTTTTACTTTTTTTTTAATATGACTTATTGTGTCCAGTTTGGACAGAAAACGATGCATCTTTTTATATGTAGATATCTGGAGCTTATTCTTTTCTCTTTTTTTATTTGTTTAAATGTCAGACTTACACTATAACAAAGTATTTTGTACTTTGATTTTGCTTGAATCCTAATACTTTATTTGGTTCCTATCAAACGGCATCTCTCTCTCTGCACATCGTCATGTGAAGGGTGCGGTTGTATTGGAAGTATGGTGCCTTCGTTCAGCGTCGTTTTGTATGCCATGTGGTGACATTTTGCACAATTTGTATGAATTTAACCTCTTGATATCTTGTACAGAAACGATGTCTATTTCTGGATGTTTTATTTGGATGGAAGGTGTGCATGTGACATTTGAGTGATGTGTTTTTTGCTGTTCTCTTTGGTGGGTGTGAAAGCCTGGTAAATGAGCAAATGTTGAAGTGCAAAGCGCTCTAAAAAACAAACGGTGTTTTAATGTTGTAAATGATGCACATCAATCAGTCCAATGCTAATCTTTTCTCTCAGGTGATATCTTATTGGCCCACAAAGTTTTTAATGAATTTGATGTTTTAAAATGTGAAGCAATGCATTTCTCATCTTACTTTTCCAAAGTAACATGAACTTTTATTAACATTAACATTAAAATGCTGTTGTACACCTTGGTGGACTTTGTTTTGTTGTTGTTGTTGTTGAAATCAGGCTATTTAAAACCCCAAGATAAAATTGAGCTTAGATTTGTAATATGTTAAAAGATTTCTTTTTTCATTCTTACTGTGAAAATCCTGAGTGGTTATGGAAAAAATTTGGTCTCTCAATTGTTACCGTCTCCTCGGTGTCTTCCCAGCTGCTGCAGCCTCACGTTTTATGGCCTCTGCTGCCAGACGCACATCAACATGAACATTTTCTTCCTGCATGAGTTGCTGATGAACTTCTGCGTGATGAATCTCTGGGTGATGAATCTCTGGGTGATGAATCTCTGGGTGATGAATCTCTGGGTGATGAATCTCTGGGTGATGAATCTCTGGGTGATGAATCTCTGGGTGATGAATCTCTGGGTGATGAATCTCTTTGTAGTTGGACAAATGAGCCTTCAAGACAAGAGCAGGAACTTTAAAGGACCATGAAGATTTTTTTCTTTGAGGTGAAAGAATGAGAGAGTCAGACATAAATTTCCAGTGGGAAGTTTACTAGAAAATTAATTTCCAGAAATGATTATTTAATGATTCCAATATGTTTGACATCATGAAGCCACAAATTGGATTACCAGCCATTATTTTCGCTCTGTTTTGAGAAAGATGAGTAATTCTTGTTTGCATTTTGGTCACATCTTTAAAAAGCGCATGTAGACTAGACTAGACTAGACTAGACTAGACTAGACTTCCTTTATTGTCATTGTACAAAAAAAACACAAGGTGAATCTTGACAACGAAATGTCGTTACTTGGCTACCAGTGTAGCAGAGCTAAAACCTTATACTACCCAATAAATAAATAAATACAATAGAAGTGCCATACAATACAGGTTCAGTGTTGTGAACAAAACTAAACTAAAGTGCATGTATTGACCATGTCCATGGGGGGTGATTTGGTTTGTGAGTGTGTTTGTGTGTGTTATGTGGCGTTAAGCAGTCTGATGGCCCGGGGGAAGAAACTGTTCAGTAGTCTGGTTGTTCTGCACAAGATGCTGCGGAACCTTCTTCCAGACGCCAGGGGGGAAAACAGTCCATGGTTGGGGTGGGTGGGGTCGGAGAGGATCTGGTGAGCGCGAGATAGGCAGCGCCTCTCTGCGATGTCCTTGATGCAGGGGAGCAGAGCCCCCGTGATCTTCTCCCCTGTCCTCACCACCCTCTGTAGAGACTTCCAGTCAGAGGCCCTGCAGCTCCCAGACCAGATGGAGATGTAGCTGGTCAGTTGGCTCTCGATGGTCCCTCTGTAGAAGGTCTGAAGGATGGGGGGCGGGAGGGATGCTCTCTTCATCCCACGCAGGAAGTGCATGCGCTGCTGGCCCTTCTTCACCAGTGGGATCAGTGTGACCCCAGTTGGACCTCATGGGGTCTGAATGATCCCGTCTCTTTAGCCATGGGAGGGTCAAACAATAAAGGAGACTTGTATTGAATGTAAACATGTTTCAGTTAAGCTCATGTGTTATAAGGGTAGATATTATAATCTAGATATAGATATCATAGTTTCAGATGAATAACATTCAGTGCTGGATGATTTTGGATGTTTTTTGGAATCAATACACTTCTCAACTTTAGAGAAGTTGATGTGTCAGTTCATGACATTCTTTCTGCCTGGACTCTGATTCTGGCCTCTGTTTTTAGACAGAGTTTCCATCAGCAGAGAATGTGTCAGCTGTTTGCTGCTGATCTCAGTGTGGTCAGTCGGTCGGTCAGTCGGTCGGTGGTGGGTGGGCGTGTTCCAGGGCCTTTTATGTGATAGGGATTCATAAATTCTTGCTCCAAATCATATGGACAAATTCAGCCTGAGTTCTGTTTCCGTCAGGTTTCCTCTTCCTGTAGAAGCATTACTTTCTGAAAACACTCAGAAGGATTTCAACAGTCATCTGTTTTTCTAAACAGATGACTGATTTCTATAAACACAATGTGCAGTTATTAAAATGTATTATGATTATTCTATCATTCAGGGTTTTAAAGCAAATCGAAACCAAGATGTCAAAGTGAGTAACTCAGTGACCCCATGTGTTTATAACTACAAGATATAAACCCAATGGGACTTTTGATCTTCACAGCTGATATACTTTTGAATTATGAGCGTGATGAAGGCTGGTTCTGTTCTGGTTCTGTTCTGGTTTTGTTCTGGTTCTGTTCTGGTTTTGTTCTGGTTCTGTTCTGGTTTGGTTCTGGTTATGTACTGATTCTGTTCTGGTTTGGTTCTGGTTTTGTTCTGGTTATGTACTGGTTCTGTTCTGGTTCTGTACATGTTCTGTTTTGGTTTTGTTCTGGTTTTATTCTGGTTCTGTACGTGTTCTGTTTTGGTTCTGGGAACTACTTTGAAAATTCTGGGATGACGATTGAAAGAAAGATTTTACATAACATCTAGAAAACTCTGACTTACCCTGACCATCCCCTTGATCAGCTCTTTTTTATAAAAAGCGACCTCCTTTAGTCAGCTGCTTCTTTGAATTAGTTGTAATACAGACTGCTTCAGCAGCAGCCGTCACCATCTACAATAACTGTCATCAAATGAGCTATAGCGCTTAATTTTCATATGGGAATGACAACATATTTTTAAATTTGAATTGAATTAAATTTTGTTTCCATGTTGATCTCACAAAGATTGCTGTGATAAGTAATCAGTTCATCTTTGTACTTACATTGTGTTTTTGGTCATTCCTACTGTATATTTGCCATTAATCCTCATGATTTCTCTGTGCTTTAAATCTCAATAGATGTTTCCTGTAATCATAGTGTCCATCCCATGCTCTCTTTTTTTAACTCACTCTTTGTATTGTCTAGTGCTTCATGTTTTGTTGCTAATCAGATCCACTGTGAGTAAATTAATTTAACTCTTATGAAAACCTCACTTTGACTAGGACTTTGTCAGCACTTCAGTCTTTCTCTTCCATATCTAAAAGTCAGCACTTCAGTCTTTCTCTTCCATATCTAAAAGTGATGTACTTTCCTTTTGTTTTTCTCCTCATTGCTATAGAAATGCTCTGCAGAAATAAGCACAGTTTTAGTTTTCATGAAATCATTTTAACAAGGAAGTAATAAGACAAGAACAAAGCAACGCTTTAGACCTTTGCTTTGCTTTTTGCTTAAGATAAATGCGTAACGAGCATGTCAGCATGTATGCAAAAAATTAATTAAATGAGCTGAAAGGAAATGAGTTTTGATGATACGAGTTAAAAGGACAACAATCTTAAAGGGCGGGTTATTTATAATGCAGGCAGCCGAGGAAGGGGCGACTGACAGTGTACTGTATTTCATGACCTTGTCATCTCATTGGCTTGTCCAGTAATCCACCACCATATAGAGAAAGTGGAGGATTTAGAGGGCATTCTGAGATTGCAATATAAACCTTCTTTACACTTTATCAGTGTGAGACTCAGTCTGCATCTGGCTGCAGCAGCTCTGCCTCGGTAATGGAAAACCTTTTTTCTCTGCTCTTCATCTTGACGTTGCTTTGTTCTCTCTGTCGGCTACCTGACAGCAGCTTTTTGTTTCTTTATTTAAGGCAGCACATCTTTACATTGTAGAAACTTTGCAGTTAACAGGTGAAGTTTTGCGTGATATTACTTTGGTATAGTGTGAAATTTTGTCTCTGACTTGGAAAGGATTTTGCTTTTTGAGGTAGAAAAGGGCAATCTTCTCTGTTGATGAAGTGTGTGTCCTGTGGGATGCTCCAGCGATGTGTCGTCTGATGATGTGGAACACTGAAAGCCAATGCCATGGCCAGGCTCTGAGTTGAAAATCAATCCAACAGTTTTTATCCTCCTGTCAAACCATGAAGGTTGTTAGTATTTGGAGGTACACTTGGTTTGATATGGTGTTGACAGAAGTTGTGTCTCTTTAAACAAAGCCATGTCAACCGAACCCCTTTTCTGTTAAAATGAAGTTAAATGATTGTGAAACCCTGTTTTCCTTCCACAGTTAAGCTTCCTCTTTAAGAAAACACTAAATAGTAATATGGTCCTGCGCAGATGCAGGACCATATTTTGATATTACTGTGTCCAGATTTTCCTTAAATGAACTTGTAGGGAAGACATAGCCTCTTTTCTTCCTGTTACTACTTCAAGAACCTCTGACATTTGCTCCTGTGCCAGTTATATGTTTCAGATGCCTGTGGTCATCACACATCCTTTCTTTACAGAGGAGCTGGTTTTTTTCTTCATACTTGATGAAAGCTTTGGGAACAGCTGTAGACCCAGGAATAGATGTTACTCTGCAGCTCTGCTAAAGATATAGGGATTACAATCAGCTCAGGCAACAGCTATGCAGCCTCAAGAGATCTGAAACTGTCTTAGTTTCTTCTTAACCCACTGACATTATGCATAAGGTTTCATATTTTGATTGAAATACAATGTCTTGATAAAATGTTTGAAACAGAGCTGGGAAAAACTATTACAATATAAATCTAATTGATCCAGCTACAGGACAGATTGTAGTGTATTGCCCTTATTACATCAGGTTACAAAAAAAGATATTTTGGAAGTTGTCCATGTTTTTTCAACAGGATTATTTTGCATCGCTGAATTAAAAAATGGTCCCCATTTTTCTCAATCAGGTTTTTATTCTAATATGATTTAGAGAAATCTGATCTTCTGACTAAATTGATGACATTTTTGTAATCTTATCGGTTTATTTCCATTAATATTTCTCATTCAAAGAAGGTTTTAGGATAATTTTTTTTCTAACAGTATATTAATGAAATGCTACAAACATGGACTTCTGTACATTGTATAATAATCACTATAAGGGTAAGTACATGTGAATTGAACATTATGTCTTCATTGTGTAAAATTCTCCATCTCTTTTCTGTCCTGATGGAATCTCTCCTGCTCATCATTCCTTCATCAGATTTTCAGGAAACTGATCCAGATGAGAGAACAAGTCTTGCATTTTGATGCTCATGTTGCTCCATAGTTCAGGAAGTTGACCTGATTGAGCAAAACCAATGTGATTTTTGGATTCATCAAAATGACCCTGAAACTGTGGAAAACCCCAGACAGGTTTTTGGCTGCAGACCAGTGGAATCTGACAGACGTATCAATGAATCAATAAAAACAAGTCACAGTGTTGTGATCGTCGCCATTCCTGCCCTCCTGCTGCATACTGATCAATGTTGCCTACATCAGCTCCTGATGTCAGTCTAGATCGGGGCGCTCCAGTCCTCCAGAGCTCCTACCCTGTAACTTTTCTCTAACACATCTTGATCAAATGAATGGCTGCAGAGCTCAGGTGCTGCTGGTGAGAAAAGCCAGCCTTTTTACTCAGGCGTATAGGAGCAGGGATCCATCTAAAAGTTGCAGTTCTGAAGGACTAGACATAGCCACAACTGACCTGAAGGTCAAAATTTCACATTTTGGTCCATCTCCAGTTAGCAAAACTTAACTATAATTTTTCAAATGCCACATGTCTAGACAATATTTTGGTGTGGCAGCTCTTCCAAAGTGGTAGCTTAGTCATAGTCGTCAGCTCATAGCGTTAACAACCCCTTTGGACAGGTCCTGTTTTTTGAGACAGGACCTGACAGAACCCCCGGTTAGCAGGAGCGTTACCGGGGCTTAGGGTTAGGGTTATGTTCAGGTTGGCTCCTGGGATGGGCATTTGTCAATGGTCTGTAATATAATGTTTGATATTGTCTTAAACGGGACACTCTTGGCTTGACCAACACAGAGGTCAGTAGAGTTTGTTAAGCCAAAATTAATACACATTTTGGGACACAAGGGTTAATAACTGAAATACTCATAGACTCTAAGAATTCACAACATGTATACCGTACCCATACTGTCTGATCATGGGAGGAGATTATGAGCTGTGATTTAACATCACAGACCAATCCTTCAACAGCCTTCAAGTATTCCATGCCTGAGACCTTGACCCTGGATCTGACCACTGCCAGTGCTAGTTTCTGTTTCCTGATTGTGCTGATGATGTCTTTGCCTCTGTGCTTTCAACTCCCACTTCAAGTCTCTGGATTCTGATCATTGCCTCATGGATATTTAATTTCTTGGTTTATTGCCCATCACTTTTGCCAATCTGGACCTAAGGACTGTAGTCAAAATGACCAGTCACTTTCTCATACTTAAATCAGACCATTGGAAGGCTGCATAAACAGGTTTACCTGGCTGGCAGAGTTTCTGGCCTGAAATCTTTAGCATTCTCAGCTTCCATCATATAGAATCCTGTTCTGTGTATGATCCTGCAGGTGAAACAATCCCTGATAAACGGACACTTTCCTCTCTCTGTCACAATATCAAGTCGCTGAAGAGGAGAGCTTGGGAAACCGCCTCTTCTGGGGAAACCTTTTCTTCCTGTTTGACCTTTAGTCCCTGGTTGCCTGTCCAACGCTCGTCCTCCTATCTGTTCTGCAGGTCTGACCGGAAAACATGAAACACAAAATCGTTCCATTCCTGCTTGAACATTCTGATGAATAATATTGTCGCTGAAGACTATTCAGTCTTTTCTGGGTTATAATTTCCATTTTTGGTCCTATAATATAATATTATAATATTGTTTCATATACCTGTTGGAAGGCTTTTATTAGAGTTGGAAACTAAAGGGAGTAAGAAGAGGAGGAGACAAGGGCAGAAAGCGATTAGATGCAAAAGAATTTGATCAAAAATCAGAGGTCAACTGAGGAACTGATCATATTGGAAAATTTTCCTTGGAAAGTATGAAAAGCTGATTTACATTTGTCACAAGTAATGATTGGTCATGGAAGCCCTCAACTGATGGACTGTGCATCCGTCACACTGATTAAAGTCACGATTGAGGAAGTTTTTGATCAGTACAGATAAACAAGAAACAAGAAAGTCTCTCTAGACTGTCTAGAAATGTTTTCATTTCAAAGTAACCCAACTAAATACAAAATACAATCTTGTCTTTGAAAAATGACAGTTGAATATTTTTAGAGAACAAAGATTTCCAAACTAACCTGATTCAGAGTGAAAAAGCAACAGCCGCCATCATTCTGTGTTTGTTTTGTAGAATTGTACAACTCAAGCATTTAGTGAGCATAAGCTGGAGGTCGACTGGAGGAGCGTTCTCCTTCATGACATACTGGGAGAGAACAGACTTCATGGTCTGGTCAACAAGGCAGAAGCAAAGAACTCCCTGCCTGCTGGTACTTTGATGTAAAACACTTTCTTCTTTTATTTCTTGTCTGTGCAAAGACTATTTTCCTGAAGTCTTGTTGATCATCAAGGTGATTTTCAGGAAATGCAAGAAAAGCTTTTGTGTTCTTTTTCGTCAGTTGTGGTTTTGTCTTTGGATTTCACGTGGATGCTGTTTTTGCCTCCCTTTCTTTTTGTTGAATCGTTTGCTCTGGCTGTCACTGCAGCAGGTCAGGCCTTCAGTACTTTGGATGCTGTTCAGGATATTTCGCCTCCTGAGTGTGACAGACACAGATGAGCTTTTTTTCTGGCTGGTGTTGCTGTTAGGATTCTCCGCTGCTCCATCTGTTGTCTTTCGTTGGAGACACTGGAGTCAAAAATCCCTTCCAGACTAACATATGGCATTAACTTTGTTTCTCATCTGTTCTAGATTTTTTATCCCACCTCTTGCTGCCATAAAAGTTATATTATAGTGATTGTTTTGGGAAATAAAAAAAGACTTGATTAATTACTTTATAAGGAGGGCAATTATGTTTTTACCTAGAGTCTGGTTAGTTTCGATAATTATGATTTTGAGAAATTAATCATTTGAAAATAGCTTTTTTGTCAGGTGACAAAAATGTACTTGAATATTTCAAAATGACAAAACCAAACAAGATCTGTAAGGGGACAAATGATTTTTAATGCCTCTGTGTTAATGTGGAAAACTATTCTAATGTAAGAATGTTTTTAAAAATATCTCATTTTTGGTCAATTGTGTAAAATAAGTAATATGACTGACTGTTTGCTGTGGTTATTTTTTATTTATCTGTTTTTCCTCTAACCATCCCATAGAAACGGGGCCATTTGGACCCCACAATCTTTTTACCAGCAGGGTTGCACTGACCTCACATGCGCTTTTACAAGGTTTTTGTGTTTGGTTTCAGGAACTGACAAACTCCCAAAACAGAACATACAACAGCTCGGTTTTTTTCACAGATTTTGTCCCATACCTTACTGTCACCACGAAGCAAACATTTGAACAAATATGTTAAAAAATTTTTTTTTTATAAAACTTAAATACCGCAACTAGAACTGTTGTTACAATGCCAGACTGTTTCTGGTGAGGTTGCAGCATTGAGCAAAGAAAGATCAACAGCGCCACCTGGAATTATTATCCCCCAGAAAATCCAAATAAAAAAAAGACACATGTTCATTCTGCTGCAAAAAGAGACACAATTCAAATAGGATCAATAGCATTTATTTAAGAATGGCACAAAAAGCACATTAAAAAATTTATTATGACAAATTAATTTGCAATCCAATCCAAGACAAAAAAACAAAAAAAACAAAAACAAACAAACAATTAAGGGAAATTTTGATTCAATTCTCAAGATTTAGGACCTTGGTCATGTTAAAACTAAAGGTGAGATAAAGTAAGACTCAATCTGTAAGATTAAAGCTGCTACAAAAAGCTGCTTTGCAATAATGTGAACAACAAAAGCAAGAACAAAATATGCAATTATTGAGTCACAACGACCCTTTTCTTTAACTCAGAATAAGACTTCAAGAAAAGTTGACTTCAGATGTTGTTGCACTTTAGATTCTGACCAGTAAGTGGCGCTAGAGAAGTCAAAATGAAGCAGGAGTGCCATTTAAATGGAGGAAAACTAAATACTGTAGTGCCAAAACTGATAGAAAGGTTGAACAGAAAAGCTGAAACAGATCAGTCTTCCTGAATGTTTTTTTTTATTTAAGAAACAATATGAGCAAAGGATGAAGAAGTGGAGATTACAGAAAAAGACGGAATGTAGCTTCAACTTTCAGTAACTTAGATTGTCCTTAGGGTTCATGTTTCTTATCGGTTGTATAAGAATCAGTACATGTTAAGTACACACAAATTTGTGATTTCAAACTAACGTTGTTACACAGTCCTGAAATAGACCTGAATTCAGCTTTCTTTCATTTGTTTTAACAGAGTCCAGATCCTACAGCCAACATGGCCACTGAGTGAGTAAAATGTCATTTTTTGGTGTTTTGTATTTTTAGGCCAGTAGAACATGTAACATGTAGTTTCTGTTATGTTCAGAAAAACATTGTGTTGCCAAATTTTTAAAACATTTTAGATCATTTTACAGAACATTTCTAAGCATTATAATAACTAAAAATCAAATCTAACTTTATAGTCACTTCTACTATTTGCCCAATAAAATGAATTTGTTTCTGTGTGCAGAAAAAGACTGTCTGCTAGACGCAAGCACACTCTGAAGGTAAGCCCAAATATTCAGAATTATATGTGTGAGCCATGAAACTTTACTTGGTAAATATCAACCGTTGGACACAACATTCGATCCAAGGACACATATTTATACTTGTGCCTGAACTCATTGGTGTTTTTTCTGAAGGGTCTTTTTCTTTTTGCAGAGCTGCATGCTTGTGGTTGCAAACAATTTGCTGGAGGCTGAATCTCAGGTGAAGGCCAAAGAGAGGGAGACGTTTCTGGCGGAGAAATGTCCTCCTTTGGATGTTCCGTATTCCAGGGAAGAACTAGTGGTGAGAAGAAAACCGTCAGAATATTCTCCTGGGATTAGAACGAGATACCTTCACAAAGAAGGCAAACGTTTTTCCTGACATGTTCTTGGATATAAATATATATTTTCTGACTTATTTGTGGGCCTTCAGATTACAAAATTCTTCATAAAAATCTGTTAAATCATGAAAACATTTTTTTCCAGGAACTTTGCAAGAAACTTCATCAGCAGATTAACATCAGTGAAGAGGAGAGATACTGCACAGAATTCAAGCTGAACATGGTCCTCAATGAGGTGAGACAGAACCGCCTCAGTCTGCTGGTTCTGTCTGCAGGGAAACCGGCTGTGATGTCACATGTTGAACTCACTCTCAATAATCTGCTCACAGTGATCATATTCAAAAGCCCTGAAAAACACATTTACATTAGATTGAATATTAACTTGAAGCTATGGTTATTGAAAATGTTACTGAAAAATATGAATGAGTAATTGTGAGGGCTGCACAGTGGTGCAGTTGGTAGCACTGTTGCCTTGCAGTAAGAAGGTCCTGGGTTCGATTCCCGGCCCGGGGTCTTTCTGCACGGAGTTTGCATGTTCTCCTGTGCATGCTGGGTTCTCTCCGGGTTCTCCGGCTTCCTCCCACAGTCCAAAAACATGACTGTCAGGTTAATTGGCCTTCCCAGATTCTCCCTAGGTGTGTGTGTGTGTGTGTGTGTGTGTGTGTGGTGTGTGTGTGTGTGTGTGTGTGTGTGTGTGTGCCTGGTTGTTTGTCTTGTTTGTCTCTGTGTTGTCCTGCGACAGACTGGTGACCTGTCCAGGGTGAACCCCGCCTCTCGCCCGGAACGCAGCTGGAGAGACACCAACACCTCCTGACCCCGTTAGGGAGAAGGATGATCAGAAAATGGATGGATGGAGTAATTGTGATTTATGAATTAGTTTACCTGGATTTAAAACCAAAGGAAAGAGAATCTAAGCAGAACTCTAACACTAAATTGATACCTGCCTGTGGTGTAATTAAAACATTTTGAACTAGTTAAACCTTTTTATTTCAATATTAACTTGAATCATATTTTCAGAGAATTGTACAGGTGAGATTGTTTATACATTGGACGAGATTGTTGGATGTGAAAAAACGATTCTTTCTAGGGATGCACAACATAATAAGGCTTATTTGACTTATAATGTCAATACCAATTTATTTTTTGTATACCTACATCTTAAAAAAAGTCACTGTAGAATTGACAGTAACTTACACAGTGTTGTATAGTAATAAAGTAAAAATACTTCACTACTTTAGTATATTTTGGAGTACTTCATACTTTCCTCGAGTATGAACATATTTGATAACTTTCACATTTACTTCACTATATTTCAGAACTTAATTGCAAACTTTTACTCTGATCCATTTTCAATGTGTGGTTTAGTTACTGGTTACTGTGATGGAGGAGCCGTCACGACTTAGGATCTAATTAAAGAGTTAACACACACATACACACACACACACACACACACACACACACAGCTTAAACTGACACAGTTCATCGTGGGTCACACGCGGTGTTCCTGCTTCAGTTAACATTAATCCTTATCTGTTATTTTCAAATATTTTCCCGGCTTCATTTTCAATTGGCTTGTTTCCGGATTGTGACGCACAGGGAGAGAGTTGTGTGATGTGGTGACGTCATCAGAACGTACTGAGTGTTGGCTGTTAAATTGATGATTGTATTTTTTGGATTACAAGTTTATTTATTTTTTTCTCTTATTAATTATTTTGTATACTTTAAGAATTGATTTGAGTTAGGAGTAATTTCTTAGTTTTTGCTTTGTTTTCTTGATTTGACTTTCTTGGGTGGAGCCTGTGGCGTTCTGTGGGTGGAGCCTGTGGCTTTCTGTGGGTGGAGCCTGTGACTTTCTTGGGTGGAGCCTGTGGCTGTCTGTGGGTGGAGCCTGTGGCTTTCTGTGGGTGGAGCCTGTGGCTTTTTGTGGGTGGAGCCTGTGGCTTTCTGTGGGTGGAGCCTGTGGCTTTCTGTGGGTGGAGCCTGTGGCATTCTATGGCTTTAAAAGCAGCGCTCTGTTCAACAGACTGAAGCTAGACTCTGCAGAACTCACACTGGAGGTGATACACGCTGAACTAAAGTACTGCTGTGTTGATTTTAACCTGCCATGGATCCAAGGTCTTTTGTATATACTTTGCACCAAAGTGGCATCTTTGTTCACTGAATAGATAATAAAATTCACTGAAGTGATCTCCGGCCTTGGGAAGTCTTTTTTTTTTTGTGGGTTGCCCAAGTCATAAGAGAACAACATGTCACAGTTACAAAAAGTGAGAGAGAGAAAAGTGTTTTGACCAAACCTACTGATTGACTGCAACAAAGTCGATAGCCGACTCACCTGGGTTTGTTCATCACCACCAATACGATGCACCTGTTTCGCTTAAACACCACGTTAACAAAAAGCTCTCCCTCTTCAGATGCCAAATAAGCTGCATTTCCCTCCCAATTCTTTTTTTCTTTTGCATAATGACCAGTTGTGTGCACCTATAGTGTGTGAAGTAGAGGAATCGTAACGGCTTTTTTTCTTCATGTTTTCCGCATTTTCTGTACTGACTATTTATTTTTCTCATTTTCAGCACTGACCTTACTGAAAGGGAAAACTTAAGGCTTACAAAAACTTTGTATTTTCTGTCCTGGAGGGTTTACTAAGAAGCTGGTTCAGTTGTAAAGTAGGTTAAGTTAACCTTGTAGGTAAAGCACCTAATTTTCTTAACTAAATGATGCTGCAGGTTTATCTATTAGCAGGTTTCATTTTGCCTGCACTTGGTTCTTTACATTATTTTAAGTGTATTTGACAAGTTTACCAAAATATAAAAAATGTCATTCAAACTGCATTTGCTTTGTTTTACTTTTTACTTGTACTTTTCATTACATTACTTGAGTTCATCCATTTTACAGTAATTTCCATACTTAAGTACAAGATGTTTCAGATACTTTAATACTTTAACTCAAGTAACATTTCAATGACATTTACTTTGACCAAAGTCATATTTTGGAGAGGTACAGATACTTTTACTTGACTCTGAGATTTCAGTACTTTATACAACAGAGAACTTACAGGCAGCAGGGTTGCCAGCCAGTTACTGTCATTTTTACGGTAAAGAAATTACAATAACTTTACAGTAAGCTTACTGTAATTTTTTTTACAGTAGTCTTATTGTAATTCTAATAGTTTTACTGTAATTTTATTACAGATGATTTATTACCCCACAATAATAACTGAGAAATAGTTCATATTAGGATTTATTTTTATTTCTTCCCTTCTTATGGAACGTTTCTGTTTATATCATAGGTCTTTAGTGCCTTTTTGTCCTGAAGAAAAAGATATAAAACTTCAGATATTTCACAACGAGATGTTCATATTCATGGAAAAAACTCACATAACCTTAAATTAAAGCAGAAAGCATGGCGGCCACCGTAAGAAAGGTTTACAGTATTCAATTATGCTGCGTAACTGATCAGTGCAGTATTGCGAGGGAACGCAAAACCTTTTGTGAGGGAACGCAAAAAAAAACTTTCCTCATGGCCCCTAGGGGGCTCCATACAAACCGCTATTGCTGCACGCCATCAATTTAAAATCCAAGCAATTTTCTTGCATTTATGGTCTCCCATACTCAGTAGCAACTAAGAGAAATTTACTCCACTACACATGAATACAAGTGGTACCAAACTTGTTCAGGAACCCAACCCAGCTCAGCATGAGGTTTTTCTATAAATGTCAAAGATGTTTTCTGACCTGCTGTACTGGGAAGAGACTTTGGGTCATACGACTGAGAGACTGTTCCAGAGCAGCCTTAGGAATGTCAGGAAATCTCACTAGATCAGTGAGACTAAGCTGAGACGATGGAGGTCTGAGAAGCTGTGCTCTGGAAAGATGCTTCAGTCCCTGATTTTCTTTGCTTGCACTTTATAAACTTTTAAACACAATTGTAAATGATTTCCAGCTCCACTCGTGACAGATCTCAACATAACCATTTTCTCATCTTCAGATCACAAAGTTTTGATTGATGACTTTAATTCAACCGTTCTGTCCGTTCTACAGGTCAGGGACCTAAACATCAAGATCGTGGATCTCAGAGGAAAGTTCAAAAGACCACGACTGAAGAAGGTGCGTATGTCCGCCGACGCCATGCTGAAGGCTCTGCTGGGCTCCAAACACACGGTCAACATGGACCTGAGGGCCAACCTGAAGCAGGTCAAGAAGGAGGTCAAAGAGGAGGTGAGCTGTTCAGCATGGACAAACTTTGAAAACTAACTAAATTCTAAACTTAGAATGACAAGCAAAACAATGTTCGTCTTTATTTTTCTGGTCAGATCCATCAAATGTTGCCCTTCGATAGAAATTGTTTCGATTTAGTTTTGGCCTCTTTCAACTACAAAAACTAAGAATTTCTTCCTTGTTCCTTTTAGGACAAGCAGCTGCGTGATGTGGGAGACTGGCGCAAGAACATCGAAGACAAATCTGACAGGAAGAAGATGTTTGACAGTTAAATATTACATCTATCAATGCCTAACAGCCCTAACAGAAAGATGTTTTTTTTTTGAGGTGGTGTTTAGAGGTCATGAACTGTCTTTTCTTAATAATAATAATAATAATAATAATAATAATAATAATAAAAAACAGGAATCATTTTTCTTCCAGATTTATGCTTCACTTTGTGTCGATATGACACCTAAAATCCAATAAAATATATGGTTCTAAAAGTCAAAGCAGTTCAAAGGGTAGGAATACTTTGTGATCCGAACTTTACAGCCAGAAAATGTTCTTATGGTCTTATTAACTTTCTAAAAACAACTAGTGACTAGACAGAGTTTGTTCAGGTATAGAATAAACATTCATATTGGTTATGCCTTGGTTATAACCTGAACACATCAACATGGAATGAGAAGCTGAACTTGTCTCACTACTTTTCTGGTTCTGATCACTTTAGTAGGTTGTGATAAAACTGAAGTAGTTTTAATTTGAAATGATAAGATTGAATCATGGAGTAAGTGATACAGAGGACATAGAGTTTTCCTTATATTTCCTTATGTTTTCCTGCTTTTTGAAGCAGAGTCCATTTCCACCATTTTAAAGGTGTAATTTCATGCAGACGTGTCACACACAACCACTTTATTATTATCTGAAACAAATTTTCTTTCATCATTTTGAATACATTCAGTGAATTATCTGCTATGAGTAAAGCATTGACAACTCATAACCCCTCAGCAGAACCCCACTAAAAATCTCTGAAGTGATCAGGGTTTTTAGGGCGAAGTGGAAGGTGATGTCTGCACAAGTAGGAAACGATTCACTTCTTGACTTTACAGGTTAAAACTGTTTGCAAAATACTTTTCCAACAAAAAAGGAAATCTAAGCATCTAGACTCTACAAATACTCTCGATCGTCTGATGAAGATCAAAAGAACGACCTCTAGCCGACCATATATTGATAAAGTTTTAATAAGTTTAAAAACTGTATATATGTAATACATTACAAGAAAAACTTGTCATTCTCCTTAAAAGGCAATCAGCAATGAGATTTGAGCTGAGCGTAAGTTCAGTCCTTCACATTTATTCCTAATTACTGCAAGGAAGAACTGGAGCCTGGATTTTAGATGCCACTTTTCACAGCAAAATTTCTTATGAAATTATGAAAAGACAAGAATTATTAATATTAATACCAAATTTTTCCCCATTTTTGGGAATAATGGCTTTTTTTCTGTTATGATTTTTTTTTTGCTTTGTTTTGAGTCTTGATCTGAGATATGATTTTCTTTCCTATTATAGAAGAGAAGCTTTCTTTGGTGTTTGAAAAGCTTTAAAACAGCAGTTTGATGTAAAAATGAACTAAACATTTTTTCAAAATGTTCATTCTGTTTCATTCAACATGTTATGTCATCTTGTCTCAGAACATCTCAGATGAAATGCAGAAGCCTCATGTCATTCATTGTTGGAACTAAAGTGTTTTCTTTCTTAAAGGGATTTCTTGTTTTACATGAGGAGTTTTGAGCTGAATCAAGTTGCTGTTATGAGACTTTAAAGTAATTAAAACTTTGCAGCTGCTTTCCTGACATTTAGTTTTACTGTTTTCATTTCAATATTGTGTAAACACTGTATTTTCATGGAATCTGTTTAACAAGCATTCATAAATATTTTGTAGCTGACTCAAATCATGAGTATTGCAATTTAATTCAATATTAGTTTACTTTTTAAAAACTAAACAAAAAATCATAGATAAGGAAAACACACCAGGGGGTTTTAATCACATTTGTTGCTGATAATAATAATTGGAAAAGGGGAAAAAAAGTGTTGTTCATATACAGAATTTCTTTACAGGGTTTGACTGAAATCTTTACTTTTGAAGCTGTATTATGTAGTTTTAGGTGATAAAACCCAAAAATCTTGGCAGAAAAGGGAAGCTAATCGGTAATGATAACAATAATAAAAAAGACTTTACCAAATTATCCCTAAATTCCTGAATCACTCATTTTAGATATTTTTTGCATACCTGTATTGATGGGACCACATATTGAATATTGACAGATGAATAAGGCCTGTTATTCCTGCACCTCAAATATAACTTTTTACTGATGCACTAATGATAATCTAAATATTGCTAAATTTAAATGATATAAATCAGGATCAGAAGGTTTTCAATATTCAACACTAAAACAAAATAATTATGAAAATTTGCAGACTGAACACTTTGATGACACACATGATATCATGTTGAAAACATAAGTGATGCATGAACAAAAGAGATACTGACAGAAAGTTTGCTGTGGATACAAAGGGAGGATAAATAGAGACCGACAGACGTCAGACATGCCTCCATTCCAACACTTGAAAGCCAACACAGGGTCTTAGGTTTTTTGTTACCCACTTGGCAAGGTGATATTTGATATCGCAAGACTGAACTGAAGCCAAACACTTTTATGAGAAAGTGTGGTTTCTGGGAATTGAAAGAGACTCAGAGGAGACGGAGTTTTAGTGAGGATGGTAAAGGAGGGAGGGAGACAGAAGTTCCTCCAGAGGATGGGGATGGAAGAGGAGTTCTGATTGTGGAACCAGTCCAATAACAGGAGAGTCATTTCTGAACTTCAGAAGAGAAGCCCTCTGAGGAGCAGACTGATGTGTGACAGCAGCTGTCCCTGCTGTCACACAGAGACAGTAAGGGGAATTATTTTCTGTTCTTCCTTAATATTACTTTACATATTGGTTTGAATAGTTTAGATTTTTATCTTTAAATTTGTTTTTATTAATCTGACCAATTTAGTTGACTATTTGCAGTGCACCCATTTAGTTAACTTTATTTGTCAGTTCTTTGTATTTTTTGTTAAATGCACTAAATTTCTTTTGTTTGAGTTACCAGTTTCCTCTGGAGCTGTGGATGGAATTAGAAAGATGATCTCCAGCTGATGCCCATATATGGCTGTCAACTTCCCCAGTGGGTCATTCCATCTGCTCACCAGGAGAAGGGAAATTTGATCCTTTAGTTTAGTTTCATCATTTCTTTAATGTTTTTTTTTTTTTGCAAGTTAGTTCAATTCTAATATTTACTTAATTAAAAAATTTAGTAATGTGTTAGTAATTAGTAATTTTTGAAATTTACTCAACGTCTCTGGCTGGTTTGTGTAAAACCCTCACAACCTCCCAGACAGCCGGTGCTGATTTGTGACGGAAGGTGGTCCCCCGCTGCCGGTCAGCAGGTGATCCACCAACGGGTGGATGTCTGAGCTGATGGTGTTCAGCTCAGACATTCCCTGGTTGGTCAACATGGCGCAGGATGAAGTGTAGCCCAGGTTGACTCAATCATCTGCCAACCTTTTTGCTTTGTGAGCAAACGCCGTTCTTGGGGAGGTGCCGTCGAGTGACAACAAACTAGTCAGAGCATTATTTGACTTTCAGGCCAGAAAACTCTCTTTCAGGACCAACCTGGTGACGTGCGCTATTATAGCACAACAGGTAAAGGAGGAGATTTGTGCAGTGGTGTTCTGAAGCTGGTGTCTCCAACTCCACTGTTTGAGAGCTTCTGTCCTCCAGCTTTTCACCACATTCCTGCTCTAACACAGTTGAGGCCATACATACTGTTGAAATAAGAATTTTAAAGTAGCACAATAGTACATAAGTTAACTTTTAGGTTAAGATAAACTTAGATACAAATCCAAACTGGGACAGCTGGTGACTCTTTGAACTTACAGAAATTCCTAATCAGAAAACAGTCTTAGACTCCTTGAATCTCTTTAGACAGGGAGCCTGTCTGCCAGGCAATTAACAAATTCCTGAGCATGGTTCAAAAGTTCACTAGGATCTTAAAACTTTTTATAAATAATTGTATCTATATTAGAATTAACTATATTTCTTTAAGCATGTTTTTAATTAGTTACTTATTAGATCCAAACTTATAGTCATTATTTAGCATTACATTTTGTGCAAGCTTGGTTAAAAATACAAACTACTTTCTTGTGGAAACATTTTGAGGCAGAGATAACATTGCAGCTGCAATCATATATCAAACTGGACAGCGGCTGATACGAGAAGGGTAGGCCGTATATCTGCTTTTGGGGCTCTTTAGCAGGAGGTAATAAAATTAACATTAAGACAGCCCACACAAAGGAAAAGAACACACCTCTTAATGCATATATTTAAATGAGGAGAATACGCATTCTATAAAAAATGGTTTGTTTCACAGCAGAAGTTGGAATCTCTTTGTGTTGAGTGAGAGTTTCCCGGAGGATGCATCTTCTGTTATTCTTTTGTCTTTTTTTACTCAGTTCTTTGTCTCTGTTTTGTAATGTCTTGGATTTTTGCTCTAGGTGAGATGCTTATTGTAAAGTTCTTCTTGGATTGAATTTCTCTGGATAAAACTCTGAATATCTGAAGTCTGACGTCGTATGATTGCTCTTTTCTCTCTGCACACTTACACAGACACAGGAATTTGGGACAAAGAATTAATTAACGAGCTAAATCAAGTTATTCCTCTTTTTAATTCTTAACAATACACAGCAACTCCAGGTTTGGCAGAGGCGTTGTAACAAACTATTCTTTGGACTGATTCTAGTGTGTTGGAGCACAACGCTTGGTTGACACGTTAGAAGCTCCTGACATAGAACATTAATCCTCAATGCAGTTCAGCATGTGTGTCAGAACCAAACAGTGTTAACTGAAGGACTCATTGAGGATGAAGGCAAAACAAAGAAGAACTATTTGGTGTTGGTTTACAGGTATGCCTGTGTGCCTGTGTGTGTCTTCTAGCAAGCAAGATGATGAACTTAGCAAGAGGAGGATACACAAGATGGCAGATGGCGCTTTTTGGTGATGTCACTCTCTAAACTACCAGCAAATTCACACAGCGCTTGTAAAGCTTGTAAATCGGTACCTGTACCGATGTGTGATTGTGCTGCATTTTGACGCCACAGCGTGCCGTTTCCAAGGTGACAGGACAAAGGAGACAGAATCTATCAGGACTGGAAGCCGTGTGTGCATTAGTTAAGATTTTGACGCGCTGAAGTCAAGGCAGATCACCGTTTTCTGTAGCATAGGGAGGCCTCAGCCACAGGCTTTATTTTCTGAGCAGCTGCTGAACCCTGCTGTGACATGATTATGTTTGTTGGATTCAGAATTGTTTTTGCTCTCCTTTGGTTGGGGATAACTGTGGGATGATGGTGGGGATATGAAAGTAGGAGGGAACCTCACAGAAACATATCAAAGATCTGAGTGAAGATGGCAGTTGAATGGTTAATGCTTGATTGTAGCTATGCCAATCCAGTAGCGTTGGCTACAGTCTGACTGCATGTCCAGCCACAGCCCCCTTTGACCACCACCAAAAGGGAAGACAGGTGAAGTTTCTTGCCCAGTGAAACAAAAGGAGCTGGGACTGAATTAGCAACCTGTTGATTATGGGACAAACTCCTACTACCGTCGCTGCCATCATGTCAGACGTCACCACCTGTATTCTCCACCAGGGATTGGAGCTTAACTCAGAGAAGCTGGCAGATATTTTTAACAAGTTAAACTTTCTAAATCTGCTCCGGGCCTCAGGGGATGCCAGTTTTATTCATGTCGTTGCTCCACCACCGCTGATTCAAATGTTCCAACTACCTCGTCCGCATGTCCACGTTCTGCAGAGGCCCCCTGGAGCATCAAGTGGTCCAGGTGTGTTAAACTGGAGAAAGAGTCGAAACATGCTGTCTTCTTAAGAAGTGACTTTGTTATAAAGGAACAAGAATGGAAAACGGAGAAAGGTCACATTTTGTAGACAGTCTAATGTAAATTGCAATCACACCCAGGCAGGGGTCAAAGTGTCTGGAAAACCTGCCCACCTGAAATCACTCCCCCCCATTATTTTTATAACTTGTGTTAATATGAGAGGTCTCCTGGCAGCCAGAGAAAAATCTGGACGCCTTTCTGTGGACAGATTCACATCTCCAACCATTAAGCCAAAGTGAAATGCTTACCAGGCAGTAAATGAGTTGGTGATATTTATAGAGTGAAGTGTAGGAGAGCATAAGACTTTATTTGGAGGAATAGTGTTATTGGTTTTTGAGCACCACTGTCCCCTGCGTCTGTTTCTGCACTCACAGGAAACTGGAACAGCAACGTAATCATGTCTGTTTGGAAAGTTAAAAAAATTTAAGTCAAAATGTTTTTGTTTTTTAACAGCTTAGAGACAGGTGTGCATCACAGCAGGTCAAGCACAAAGTGTGATAGCAGATGTTGGATCGTTATTTGGATCAGCTGAGAGTAAAACTGCATCTCACTGAGACCTTTAACTCTTTGTGTCCTCCCAAAGCTTGAAAGTCAAATGTAAAGTGTGACAGACTTTTTCCAAAGCACGTCTGCAGCAGAAACATGGGATGACTGGTCCCCAGGAATAATGTCTTTCAGCTGGATACATGAGTGGGCTCTGGGATGCAACACTTTCCTTCTGCAACAGAGGAAATCTTCTTCATGATGGTAGGAACCAGTGAAGAGATGTATTTCATGATGAAACATTTCTTTCCCAGTCTGGTGACGGATATGTTGATGCTGCAGTGAAGATCTTTTTTTTTTGTTTGTGTATGTGGTTTCA